ACATGTTAAGGCACTATCTATGCACACGCCAAGATATTTCACGAAGGAGACAAGCTGCACAGGCATTCAATGAAGATTGAATGTGCAGTCAACAATAGCATGACGTCGGAACCACGAAAGCACTTTTCTTTTTGTAGCGTCCTGAAGCAACGATTCTGCTTGCACCGCAGAATCATATGCGATACATCGCATTGTAAAATATTGAAGTCTTCTGAGGACTGAGTCGTTTAAATCAGCTTAATATTATCGGCAAAAAGGAGCATCTCAAAACTTTCAATGTATGTTTAATTTTTTTAAACGCTAGATGTTTTTTTCTTCAATCAATTTTATTGGTCGGTTTGTAACCGCTACACGATCTTGGAAAGAAACCTCAACCGGTGACTGGGATTGCACTCCGGCCACCGGCGTGGAAGCCGACCGCGCTGGTGACTGCGGCTACGGACCCAACACGCAGAAACTGGAGGTGCAGGAGCAAGTGGTGTGAGAAAGCGGGCAGAGCGGAGGGGTGTGGAAAGGGCAAGAACGCAAGGAGCAGAGATAAGTGATATAGGAAGAGCGTGGGGGACGAGGGAGGAGCGGGAAGGGCAGGAGAGCGCGTTTCCCTTCTCTTGGTGACCCAAAACATTAAGCGAAATGTTTGGTATCCGGGTGGTGCTGAAGGGAATCGCGCGCAGCGTCAGGAAAGGTAATGGTGGGGCATAATCTGTTTCCATAAAAGCACTGTCCTGGGCATCACCCAAGCTAAGACCACCGCCCATCCCAGGCACTTAAAAACTAAGGCTAATCCTGCCCTACGCACAACTCACCCAACAAACTACCGAATTTAAACGCGCCTCGCAGAATGACCAAATATGCAGTAAACTTTGTTTAATAATATATGTAATTTTCAAAGCACGCTCACTTGATCTTTGGTTGAGAGGTATGTCCAGTCGTAATTTTGGAACATAAGCTGTTTACATAAGTATTATATTGATGCGAATCATTTAAACACAAATTAAAGTTTTAGAACGCATAATAAAATCATCGCTTTCGGTACATAGTGTATACAGCAATAAAAACCTTGCTTCCGGGATTTCGTCTTCAGATATGTTTACATTAACCACTTTAACATTTACGTATACTACAGATCCTGCTTCTAGTAATGGTGGCCCGCAAATTTTCATGTACATGATTTTTCGGGGGGCATTATTTCAGTGGTGGTTTTGACTCACCAAGGGAAACCAACTTGTATCCGCGGGGCGAAATTCTAAACTTAATCGTGAAATTTGTATTTCACTATTGGCATCCTAGGCTGAGATCTTTGGTAATCGCTTTTAGGGTTCGTCTTTGACAGGTTGTCGTGAGGAAATAGCGTGTTCTGTGTCATTTCTCCGCTCCACTTTTGCGTGATGAAGAACCTTGTAGGGAGCACGGAATCCTAGTTCAGGAGCGTATGAAACGGCTCAGTACACGAGCGGTAACGCTCTTAGAAAGCTCCGTCTGCGTTCTTGACGAGCAGTTGAAAAGCCAATTATTACAATGTACAGAAGAAGTGCATGAAGAGGGTAAAAATATGTTTGCACATAAAAATTAAGTCTGCGATGTGCCATACCATGTCTGTGATGCGTGTCGCAAGGCTAAAAATGTGTTTGCACCCAAAAAAAAAGTTTGTGATCTGCGACTGAACTGAGCTTGATATTTCCCGTGTGCTCAGCATCACGTATCAGGCTTTTTGTTCTATAGTTTGTTTCACCTTAAGTCCAGACGCAGCTGACTCTACGAGCTGATCGAACGAATAAGGCAAAGCCAAAAGCGCACCATCATAAAGTTCGTCGTATTTTTGCACGTGTTTTATCATCGTTGAACCAATCATAAACAAAATATCGTAGTGACCAGCGCTTTTCACGCTGCTTGATTGGTCCTATTACCTCGTAGCGTCGGAAGCATAGACTCATTTAAATGCGAAAGCATTAACTGTTCTATGGAGCGAAGTCGCCGTTGTCTGTACCCGTCTGTTGCGGAAAGACGGCACCTCAATTCCCATTACCGATAAAAAAAATTTTAAAAAGTGACGAGCATGCTTTCCCGACGCCACGGCGACTCCACGGTTCCGAATGACTACGGCTGTGCCTAGTGCGTGCGTCATGCTTTCGCATTCCCACATGTAAGCAGTCTTAAGTGTCTCTGCCGAATTTTTTTCGTCCTTGCCATTGGCCGACCGCCTTATGTAAATAAATCGCAGTCATTCGCTCTCTCCCTGCTCTGCGGAGCGATTAGACGCAAAAGACTGCACACCGAGGAATGCTTTGCTTGCAGATAATCACGACCTCTTTTCTTTAAATAACTAAATAAAGATTTAAGCTATTCGTGCTAATGCAGCCTGATTAGTTTTGGTTTCTTGACGAGATTAAATGTCTCGGTACAACGCTGCTTGCAATGATTGGCTCATAAATAACCCCGGGAAGACCATCTCCATCCACAATGTTGCACAACTAGTTGGATCCGCCTACGTATTAACGGTGACACAAAAGAACATAATCTCGGGCTTTCAGAAAACTGGAATTTGCCTTTCAATAGCGAGCCCTTCACTTCGGATGACTACATGATGTCATCAGTCACTGACAGACCCTTAACGTCCGTAGGCGGAGAGGTGTCACGACAGACGGCCACCATCACCGAGAAAACGGACAGCGCAAGCCGACTGGAAAGTGATTTGAACTTTGAGACAAACGGCCACGGAGCTAGCAACGTCTCTACAGATGTCTTCCCACCTACTGTCGCCAACGCAGCCTCGACGTCAACTGCATCTCCCAGCCGGATTGTCCCGAGCGACCTAAGGCCCTACCCTAAGGCTGCACCGCGTAAGACAGGGCGAAAAGGAAGGAAGAAAGGTAGGACAAAAATCCTTACGGATACACCCGAGAAGCATGCGATTGAACAAGAAGCTGCAGAGAGGCTGGCACGACAGAGTCTGAAAAAAAAGAGCGCTAATCACAGCTAAGACTGTCGCCACTACCCGCCCAAAAAAGAAACGGCGACTTCAGAAGGAGTTCAGTTCTTCAAGGGAAGACGACACTGTTGCCGTTGCATTTGATGATTCAGACAGTGACATGTCGGGTTCCGATAATGAGAGGCGGGACATTTCTGAGGCCGATTGCCCAAACAAAACTTTTCAAGTGACAAAAGGCGATTTTGTCCTTGTCAGATTTGGTAAGAAAAAATCTGACGTTTATTACACGGGTAGAGTCGAAAGTAGTGACAATATGGACGTCAGTGTCCAGTTCCTTCGAAAGAAAGAAGAGAGCTTAAAGTTTTACTTTCCTCCGCAGAAAGATATAGGGACTGTGCCAATAACGGATATTGTGAAGAAGCTGCCAGCGCCAAAAACTTTTGGGGGAACGAAGCGCCTGCAAGCTTGCTTCAAGTTTGATATGGAACTATCGGTTTTTAATGTTCGCTGAAGACGTTGGGACCGATATTTTACTGGCGTCCCATTCCTCCCAAAGGGTGTCTCCACCCGAAGGGACGGGTGGAATGGGACAGATTTTAGCTGTTAGAAACTATTTTTTTGCAGTTGCTCTAAAAGTGGCAGTAACCTGTGTTTCGCAGAATTTGCGCAGCTTGTTTCGACTTGTACTATAATCCATCAACCATCTTTTTGCGTTCAAAATAAACAAAACTAAAAATGCATTTGTGAAAAGCGTCCCATTCCTCCCGACTCTCTCCTACTGTAATCAGAACATCAAGTGGACAAATATTAGGTGCCAGCAGTCTTCTGTATCTTAACTGCTTCACTCTTTTCCAGCTTTCAACTTCTAGACTTTCTATCCGCATCCAACATAAATGCGTAGCAAAGCAGACTTGCATTTAGTCTGCTATCCGCTAAATCTAATTACACTTCAATGGTTTTCATTTCCTTTATTAAGACTAACAGAGAGTATCATTAAATGACCCCACGCGCTTATGTAACTAGGCGTTTTTTTTTTTAATGTTGTTACGAACACATCGCATTTGTTTTGCTCCGAGAAGGCGGTATTCCTACTAAATGCAAAGCGTTTTTACGTATTATGTGATTCAAAGTTTATACGAAGTACGCAACTGCCATCATATTATATTTGCACATATAACACAGGTCACCTGTGCTGCACTATACGATTTAAGTTGAAATAACTAAAACATGTCTTCTAACTTTCGTTTGAAGGCCTTCGGGATAAATGCTCATCACAAAGTAAAGACCGCTGAAACTCACTAAAAAGACTGTAGAAAAATTATGCCTCTGATTTTTAAATATGATAGGTAGAAAATGTGGCTTTGGAATAAATAAAATATTTAAGTATCAAATGAATAAAAAGATCTTTGACGATTTCATTTTGTTTAGTTTAAAAAAATGCGCCTAGGCGCATTTGATAAAACTACTCAATTAATTTAGGACGATATAGGTTTCAATATACAAAATCTCGGCTACGTGTTGTTTTACGGCGTTTCATTGGAAGTTTAATTAACCTAGAAACTCCTTAACGATGTAATTCAAAGTTTTGCATCGTTCATAAACCTAACCTTTAAATATTTAAAGATATTGTCCATATTCAGCATGGTATACGAAGCTGGTAAGAACTTTGAAATAAAACCCTGTAAGCCGCGGGTCTCGAGCCGTCGGCTTCCAGATGACGCCGACCGACATTTTTCCAACAGGGTTAGCGGCAGAAAGTGACACAGCCAACGCTGCCATTCTCAGTCTTAAAGGAGGCGCGTTTCTACTATAGCTGGTTGGGCATAAAAAAGAAACAAAAGCGGAACGTTTAAATCGTGAGAGCGATATCCGCTTTGACCTTGCACGACACATGTAACACCTAAGAAATTCTATTGCAATAGCTCGTCGTATATATAAAATAAAGGGTAAGAACTGTGGGACTCCTCATCATGTTCAAATAATAGCCAATAATATAGTCAAGGTCTCCACACTCGTGGTTGCAATGTGACTGACAAGCAAACAAGCAAAGGTTTTATCAACTCTGCTATACTCACCTTCTGAAAAGAAACGGTCTCCAAAGTTCACATGTTTTGCGACGCGGGAAGTAGCCCATCGTATAGTTACTTGGTCGCAGGTAAAGAAGCTGAGGGCTCTCGGTAGTGTAGAGGGGCCAGTCAAATCCAGGCAGAGGTATCGACGGCCTCCTGTACAAGTTGGAAAAGGGGGATTCATAGACACGAGAGCACGAAGCGATGGAATCGAAATTAATCTGGTGAATACCTTTGCAGGCAATATACACTGCATAAGATACGTTCGTAACCGTCCTCACTACTAAAACATCTTATTAGTGAGCTGTGGAACATCGCCGACCGCACTTAAAATTAACAGGAAAACAATTTGTATTCACCCTCCTTTTTAACAACAACAACCATTTTAGCGTCCCCTTGAAACAAATCGAAGTGCAGCTCGATCTAAAAAAAAAAAAAAGAAACATCCGCGCCGATCTTTTTTTTTTTTTTTTTTTGAGTTGACAACGAGGTTTTCTCATTTAGGCCGGGGGTTTCCAAGCCCCGGCCCGCGGGTCAGATCCGGCCATAGAGTTATTATAATGTACGCTAGAGGTTCAAGTGGCGCTAGTGTGCTGACGCAAATTGAAGCAGACAGCAACCAGTCGAAAATTGACTTCCGGTAATGCATTTCTATGGGAAAAAGTGAGTGCATTTTCTCTCTGCGCTCGATCATAAGGGCGAATATCCCAAATAATTCGTACGTACTAGGTAGCTTGGAACATTTTTCAGTCAGGCCGACGAAATAATTGGCCATTTACGGTGTTTTTCTTTCAAATTCATCGCATTAAAAACGGTGTTAAAACAGCTTCGTACGTATATTTATGTGCACTGTCGGACACTGTTAGCGCGAACACGACGTCGGCGCTTTTCAGCGTGGGGTATATACGTGCCAAACGAACGAAGAACATCTGGAAATTAAGAAAGACGGCAAGAACTACGCAGTAGCACCGGATCAGTAACCACACGTGCATATACGATGAAAATTAATTGAAGGCTACGTAATCTATTCCTATTTTAAATAAGTAAGTACCGTTTTATTCTTTCTGCTCTCAGCGGAGCTGCTTGTTCTATAGTTCAAAATATCACTCGCACGCTCGAAATCTTTGAGAACAAGTGCCCGATAAAAGCTGCCCGGCAGAGAAAACAATACGAAGAGACAACTTTTATAGCCAACGGACTTTATTCTATATGTTTTGAATGTTTTTATCCGCTCATGCACGACGGGGTCATTTTTATATTGTGACAGGACTGGCATATTTTCAATATATAAGCGTCACCGGATTGCTGGCGAGCCTTGAACACACTCTACATTCCTTTCAGTTGTAATTTTGCTTCGAATCGTCGCTTGTTTCTACACACCTGCTGCGGAACACACGTTTGGGACTGAAATGTAGCGAAGTTAAACATCGGTCACTGATGAAGAAAAATGTGCTAACTAAAGCAATTACACTTTTACAGTGTTAATCAAGGTACATACTATCCGGTACGACCCAAATAACCAAAGTGTTCCGTGTTATTTTCCGGCGAAGAGACAAAATGCAGGCGCGCTTTCGCATAGGAATACACAGGAAGACTGGAAAAGTAGACTGGTTGCTGTCTGCTTCAATTTGCGTCACGGAAGTCGCATAGACACTAGCGCCAGTTGAACCTCTAGCGTACATTATAATAACTCTGTGGATCCGGCACGCGGAAGTCTACCGACTGGCCCGCAGCTGGCCGCGGTCTTTCCACTGAAGCCCGGCCTGCTGCCCGCTTCCGACAGACCCGCTGCTATGGCGCAAAAAGAAGTGCGCGGAAAGAAACGACGGCCCGACGCGCTCTCAGTGCGCAAATTAGGATGCCAGAAAGAACGACAGAAAGTGGATCGTCACATGTGTCCTCTCACTATGTTATAATTCAACGTTGTGATCACTGTCATCTTTTCTAGTCCCCCAGCTTCATGTCTGTGTAACTATGTAAAAACTCCATTTCGTTCTCATGTCCTTTTCCCAAACTATTGCATATTTTTCACATTAGTTTCATCATTCTCGTTAGTATTTTGCACTGCGCGAATGTGCCAAAATTTTCATGCGCTTTGATTTATGCCTGGTGAGTTTTCTCTGTCACAAGTATCGCGTAATGTCGTATTAGCTAAATATTAAATTTTAACCTAACGTACACTTATTATTTACCTTAGGGTTTTTTATACTTGCTCTAACATTATTGTGTATTGTTAAATGCTTATCTACGTTAATTTACTTAGTTGTTTTGTTTTTTTCGATTTTAATTGCTCTTTTTCCCCCGGCCCTCGAGACTGCGACCAATCGCTAATCCGGCCCATTAACCGACAAGTTTGGAGACCCCCGGTCTTGGTATATCTAGCCACCAAACACATCTAGCAGTCCACTGAGAGTATTGACATTCGCGGGACTTTTGAAAAGCGTCAAATCAGCTGAGCAAATCTTTTTATCTGCTGCAGATCGCGAGCAGTACGCCCTCGCAGGAACAAAAAAACGTTCATCGTCCTTGTTAATTTCCCCATAAAAATATCTAAATCCGCCACTTCAACTGTTGTCAGGTTTAGCGACGCATTCGGAATTTTGCGCATTGTTTCCCACTCGTGCCCGCATATTTTTTTTTTTTTTTTTTAATTTCTAAAGTAACACGCTTATGTTTGCTGAAAGCCCCTTCCTGGTATTTCTGGCGAAAGAAAATTGAGAATGCGCTCGAACAACATTGGCACTTGTTTCCGTGAATTTTACCTTTTAATAATTTTATTTTTTGTACGATTATTCGTTTCGAACTTTTTTATATTATTTGCTTTTTTATCATGAGCGCCAGGAACTCTTGCACCCTTTGCATGTGAAATAAGATAGCCGCTATTTGACAACGTAAAAAGAGAATGTTAGTACAAATTGTTTCAGCAAACCCGAAGCAAAAAATATAAGCATTCTCACCCTGCGCGGATGAATGAACCCCAGGCGTCGACAATCTCTTCCATGAAGGCTTGTTCTTCTGTCGTATACTGTATTTTTACTAGCTGCTCCTTTTCGTAATCATCAAGAGGCTCCGTGTACCTGTCCCTGTCCTTATAAAAGGGTAGCGATCCTAATGTGTAGGCCAGTTCTTCTGCGTGAACCACGCCCATCCAGTCCGGCCAGAAGCTGAAGGTAGATTCGTAAGCGAATAAATACCTGTAGGTACTTATGCCTTGCCTGGCAATTGTTTCTGCAAATAGCTGTGTAGGACAGTCAAATACGGCATCTCCAAATATTTTGCCGAAGATGTCCACTACCGTCTTTGTGTCGTGTTTTGTCTCATATCCTCCAAAATAAAAGTTGACGAGGTGTTTCACTTTCGACACTGGAATATTGAAGACCGGCGCCAGGGCAAATGTTATAGCCAATCTGTAATCTCCGGACATTACTTGTTCCAGTCTAGGGAAAGTGAACTTCAGATGATCCAGAAAAAGCGACCCTTCATCCCGATTGGTTCCTATTAATACATTCTTAAAACTGAGGCTCGTCCACGTTCTCTCCGAGAGTACGTGCTGGGGGAGGAAGTCGTCTCCATGAATGGGTGAAAACATTCGCTGGACGTCGTCGACACTTGCTAAAATTTTGATTATGAATCGAGCGTCTAGTTTTCTAAGGCACGCCATCACTTTGTCTAACTGTTCGTTGAAGCTCAGTCGAGTATCGTAGCATCCGAGGGCACCAGCAATATGCGTGAACTTGCTAACGCCCCTGTACGACATTCCAAGTATCATAGATAGTGGAGTGCCGCTTTCCATAATCACCCTCTTGAAGAGACCTTGACTCGGTGGAGCCACCGCATGCAATCCCACTGAAATGGCGCCAGCGCTTTGGCCGCTAAGTGTCACCTCGTTCGGATCGCCTCCAAAATGTTCTATGTTTTTTTGAACCCATTTGAGCACCAGGTTCTGGTCCCAAAGGCCCATGTTTCCTAGACGTTCTGGCTTCTCGAGCGACAGAAACCCAAAAATGCTCACTCGGTAGTTGAACGTCACGAACACAACATTCGACAACGCCACGAAGTTGGCGGGGTCGTAGATGAATAATGCCGAGTCACCCCACTGGAAGGCCCCTCCATGAATAAAGACCACAACTGGAAGCTTTCTCAGACACGAGTCGACATTCTGGCATGTGGAGCCTGGCCTCCACACATTTAGGTAGAGGCAGTCTTCTGAAGCACTAGAGTAGTTCAGAAATCTTTCACCTAAGAAACGAAGGTTTAACTGCCAACAAGGTGTCGGCTTACTTGTGGCTTTGAGCGTCCCCTTCCAAGGTTCTGCTGGCAATGGATTTCGAAAGCGAAGGTCTCCCACGGGTGGTTTTGCGAATGGTATTCCCAAAAATGCATCCACCTCTTTGCCGCCAACCAGGATGCGCGAGCCAGCGACGAGTCCCGTGTGGGTGCGAGCCAGCGGATCATTGCACGTCACAGATCTTGTTGAGCAAACCAAACACACTGTAATAATCAGGTAAAGCATTCTAGCAACTTCTGGCCTTTGTTTTTAAGAAGAGATATAGTTATCATCTGAAATTATTTTGGTTATTACTGTTTCCCCTATCCTTCAAGACGAAGACGCCTAGCATGCAGACTTCGTGCAGGTGAACGGCAGAGTGGCCGAGTGAGTGTCTTACATTTCGGTCGCGTCGATGTTTTTCTCATTTGTTTATCCTATTGCTTGCAATCTTTCCTGCCATAGAAGTTTGGCTTTGGCTTTTGTAGCATAAGAGCTGTTGTTATACTAGCAGGAAAGAAACCAGAACTCGAGTCGTTGCTCCAACTTTTCCTTCTAGAATGACAATGTACCGATTATTGGAATTTAGGTGAGTGTATGGAGGAAGCACTGGAGGAAATATTAGAATACAGGATCGCTATCGGAGCTGTATCGGTGGATTCTGTTTTGCATAGAAAGATGATTACTTCAGACCGGTACACTAAACTACGAATAATTCATTTGGTATCACGCCTCAAGTCAATTTAAGGCCATGGTGACATGTGCGACCGGATAAGCTTAAACATTCTTACTTGTGCCTAAAACTGTATTGTTTCTATGCGGAATTATTTCAATTCAAACGCGTTCTTCCTTCCCAATACAGTGTATGCGATAGCTGGTTATTTGAATTATAACAAAGTTACATTAAAAAAACGTTAGCAGTTTAAAAAATAAAATATTCAGCCACTCCAAATTTACAAGGTCTGTCTGTTTGTTTGTTTTTATGGCAGAAATAATCTTGTTGCATTACCGAACCCTCATTCTCCACCAAACGTTGCTGTAGCATTCCGAAATAGATGCCAAGATTTTGAAAAATTAAGTTATCTCATTCAAAATGTATAAGTGATTCTTTTTGAAAATTTGAATGCAAAAATGGGGCCCCTTTTCGGTAACTGGCGCCCATTCATTTCCATGTATTCAAAAGTTTCATACGCCGCCGTTCAAAAATATTTTGCGTTTAAATATAATTTTTCTCAGAAATGCCGTTTTTTTGTACATGGTTGTGATTGTCATTAATATACGTTTCCTGTATTATTGAAAGGACTAATTAAATGAGACTGCAGTCCGGTCAGTGAACCTGTAGCTCCAGGGTACGGTCTTCAACACAGCGTTTCTAGTGGGCTTACCAATAATATGTCAATATAGATCTACCAAATATATTGATTATGTATGCTTCAAAGATATCCATGAAATAATCCTTAAATACGCACATGACCGAACGCTAATTATTAAAGCATAAGGCTCTGTGAGATTTTCACAAATTTTGGCGAACTATATTTCTAACTCTAGCAGTAGAGTTATTTTTATTATCATGCAACGTCGTGCGACAATGAGCAGTACCTTAAATAGCATAGTACCTGGTGGCTTAAGTTTATTTGCGCGAAAAATATATGCTTTGAAAAGCCGGATTCCAGAGGCAAACCACATTTATTAAATACATATCATAATAGACAAACATATTTAAAATTCGAAAACCACCGCATTTTGAAATGGTCGGAATTTTTTATTTAGTCAAATGTCACTTACCACCCATCAGGCTTGCGCGAATATAAACACAAACAGGGGGGCGCCATATCTGACTCTCTACAATATTTGCTGAAGCAGAAAATTACGCGAGTTTCCAAACCTTTTACTTTTGCCTTTTATCAAGTATTTATTAACGCGGAGCTCCAAATCTACTTTGTACTCACGGCTCGGAGCGTTCAGTTTAGTACCCTACTAAAACCATTGTACAGTGATAGCTGTTATGGGCTCTTCCCACAACTGGAATCGACGCCCGTCGTAGATGTTGTAGTTGTTATTGTTGATGTTGTTGTAGTTGGCAAACCCTTGAAAAAGACTGCCTGCTGCTTGCTGCCCGCTGGAATTGAACCTGAGTCAGTGGCGGGCTAAGCGGAGGCGTTACCACACAGCTACGTTGTTTTTTTGTTTTTTTTGTTTTTTTTTTTATTCTTTGTTGCAAGACAACATGAAATGTCACCCTTCACATTAAAAATTAACTGCAAAACTTTTGCAGCATATAATCAGATGCTCGCATCTCGGACATAGCTTTACAGATGCCCAGCCACTCGGGCTTGGGCTCACGGTGGGAAAGCACACTTTCAACCTGTTCAATAAGCGAGAAAAAAATAGATGCGTACTTTTCTGGCATTAAGGGTGGCATGCCTGATGGCTATACGTGACCTCCAGATACTACAAAGGCCGAGAAAAAAAAAAAAAAAACATATCATGGGTAACACCGTTATCGTCCTTCACGTTCAAAAACGGATGCCCTAGGGTGTAATACAATACTCTTTCCTCAGCGCGCGTTCGAGCCTATTCCAGTAAAACATGTCATTTGGAAAAAAGTTAATAACATGCTTCATGCACTGTCTCAGGTGCCTTACATAATACACCCTATACAGTCCAAGGCACATCGATACCATTTTCTTGCAGCCACATCTTAACGGGTAAAATATAGGCATGTAACTTAAAAAATAATTTTTCACCGAGGGTGGTACAGAGATGCGCTTTACTCTCTGAAGTACTTTTTGGTCGGGATCACAACAAGAGGTTCGATAGATCGGTGTCCGAAACAAACTGACCACGAAATTCCCTGTGCGCGCTTTCTTGCTCACTGAAGACAAATATTCGAAAGAGAAACGGGCATACAAAGAGTTAACTGCGTCTATGTCTTATTTCTTAAAGCCAAATAGTCTTGCCAGCTCGCTTCTACACGAATAAGAAAGAAAAAACGGTAAATAGGTGACAGTTTAGTTTGAATAAATACACGTATAAAAGGGTGGTCCTGTTCTCGCATAAAAAAGGAACGAGAAACGAATTGCTTAATAAACAAATGAGAGTGGCAGCTCTAGTCTCACATGACATTCCCAATGGAACACGTTATGCACGCCTCATGCGTTCCAGCTTGACCTTCAGATAAACAAAGCGAAACTACGATTAAACTTCTGCACATTAAATCGGCGACAGACTATGTGGTTTGGAAAACGTACCAAATCTTTCAAGTTTAAAACATATGACAAACTGTCGCCCTCGCAAAGATGGACAGGTCACGATACTTCCATCAGGAAGCGCGGCTGTCCAGGTCGGTGGCGACCCCCGACTAAAACGTTTTGCTATTGCGACAACACATTAGCGGCACACCGAGGTACGCGCACGACACGCCGTCATAGCGAACGCCTTCAAACACTGATGGCGCTGTAGCACATGCGTCGTGTCCAAACCATCGGCACTTGTTCCAGTTAATTGCTGCGCTGGTTGCGTCACATAAGGGTTTCGCCAAAGTAAACGCCGTACCGGCACTTGATTTATCACCACAGAACACTGCTAAGTCGTCGGCATAGCTCAGAATCTTAACCTCCACATTTTTTGAACGAAAGCCATGACACATGGTACAAAAAAAGACAACAAAAAAACTTAAACAGGAAGGTTTTAAATACAAATTGAACAAAGGCGATATGGGGCACCTTTGCCTTACACAAGCTTTCACATAATTTGTTTTGGTCAACGGCTTGCTCACTCTTAACAAAGCCCGTGAGTCTACTTTCCCGCACAACACTCGGAGAGCCAATCACCGCAACTTACGGAGTGAGCTGGGCGAATGACGATGCCAAAACATATGTTTCGACCAAAAAACGCAGTCTGAGTTGTGACATTAAGCAATGCAAGCGTGACGTTTTGCATTGCTTAATGTCACAACTCAGACTGCGTTTTTCGGTCTAAACGTATGTTTCGCCATTGTCATTCGCTGAGCTGCCTTCGTAAGTCACGATGATTGGCTCTCCGAGTGTTGTACGGGAAAGTGGACGCACAGGCTTTTTTTAGAGTGCTGATTATAAGCTTCATGATGCGGTCTTTATATACCGTTTTGACGCCTTCGAAAATGACATCGCCTACGTTTACTCGCTTTAAAACATCGAAAAGAACATCGTGAGTGACACGATAAAATGCTTGGTCGAGGTCGATTTGAAGCATGGCTACTTGGCCGATGCCCCCATCACATGTTGCTAATACACCGCGTGCGACATTTACGTTCGTCGTAGTTGATCTCCCTTGGATTTCACGTTTGACGTTATTCATACACGCAACGGCCTGTTACCGCCGTGCTAGAACCTTTGCAAAAATCTTAATAGTCTACGTTACACAGGGTAATTGGGCGGAAGCCACTGACATGACGCAGTTTCTCGTCATCGTTGCCCTTGAGTATCTGGACGGTAAAGGCATACCTGTAGAAGACTGCGACAATCTTTTCCTTTCGTACGCGATAACTAGAAAACAAATGGTAGCGACATCGCTTTAAACTTCTTAAGAAAATTAGGCACACGGACCATCCAGTCCCAGTGTTTTTAAGGTTGACAAGTCATCGATTGCTTTAAAGATCTCTTAAATTGATATTGGATGAGAAATACTCGAGGCGCTGCCGCTGACTGCGGCAGCTCTTTGAGAAGTTCTCCACACATGGGATCCTTCCTTCCTGAACCTTGTGACCCAAAAAGTTGCTTATAATGCATAACAAACACTTGCCCGATCATTTCCGGGAAAGTCCTGGTGGCGCCGTTTACCTCGATTTCTGCTATTTCACCCCGAAGCGCGTGTCGGTTCCTGTCCGCAAGAACCTTCTTAGTAGATTGCTCGCCCAACAAATCCGCCCGCGCTCGCACCTCGGCGTCGCGGTAACGCTCCTGATGAAGCTGTTCTAACCACCTCTCAAGGCCATCTTGATTCTCTAAGCACACACCGGGAGTTTCATTCTCAGCGCTGTACAGCGCAGATCGAGAGCTTTCGAGCGACCTTTCGATCGACCTTTCGATCGATCGTCCGATCGAGCGACACATAACCTTTCAATCGCCAGCATCTTCACTTCCTGTTTGGTGATTGCCAACTTCTCAAAAATTACCCCCCTCTCGCCTTCAAAACACGTTCTGAAAGTGCTGTCTTCAAGGAAAAACTTATCGTCGAGCAGCTTCGTGTTAAGCTTTCAAAGCCTC